CAGTTCCGGGGAGGGCGGCCGCTGAGAGCCGGCAGCATGAGCGGCCTGGTGGAATGCTGCCCAGAGGCCCTCCTGGCCCTTTATAAAATAAAAAAAAAAGCAAATTCACTCCCCACAGAGTGACCCCCCCCCGACACACACCTGCAGCCTCAGGGTCTCAGCCTCGGAAGCACCTGAGCCCCCAGGGATCAATCCCCTCCCAGCTGCATCCTTGGGCTCTCAGCCTCGGAACATTGTGCAGCCTCAGAAGCACCTACTCCCCCACGGAGTGATCACACACACACACACACACACACACACACACACACACACACCAATAGCCTCAGAAGCGCCCAAGACCTGGGCGAGTGATCCTGCCCCACTGGCAACCTCAGGGAGTACACCTCGGAACTTCCCTTGCTCCCAGCCAAGTGATTGGGGGTGGGGGGTGCGGGGTATCTGGACAGCGCTGCCCAGCAAACCTCTCCCATTAGGTAGAAACTTCTGACTGGGTTGGGGAGGTAAATGGGTTTTGTTTCAAATCTTTACAAACCACAAAGCAAATGTCTCAGGTAGGGTTTCACATCAGAAGTAATTACAACTAATTTCTGAAGGCAAACTGCTACATTGCAGTTACATTACTGGAGAGTACCTTGTGGTCCGGAGGTTGGGCTCTGCAGCGGCGGTGGTGGGCGCTTCCTGCCCTGGTTCCTCAGCACCTCCAGTGGGCTTGAGCCCACCCAGGAAGGCCTTTCCCCTACAGTTTTCACCAAGACAGGCAGGTTTTGTAGACGTTAATAAGAAGTGCCCACGCACAAGTCCTGAAGATGCTGGGGCGGCAGAAATGACAAACCGGAAAAAGAGCAAAACCAGAAACACCACCAATCCCTACATAGATCATCTTTTTCTTCAGATGACCGTGTGTTTCCCCCTTCTTCGTCTTCTGGAAGCGAGACAGATTCAAGTACTGACGATTCTACCAATAGGAAAGTTAGGAGAAAGAGAGGACAGAAAAGGAATAAAAGGAGAAAAGAAAGAGGATAAAAGATGAAACATCAAGAAAAAGAAAGAGAAGGAAAAAAGAAACAACCACATGGTATGACCTTTCCAAGGTCTCATGAAATTTCTATTTAAGGAGTTTCTTTTATGACACTTTTGGTTTGGGTTTACATTTTTACGGGTTTGTCGAGACTATGGCAGGTACACTGTCCAATGTGTTTTTTCTTAAAAATATATTTTATTGATTTTTTACAGAGAGGAAGGGAGAGGGATAGAGAGCTAGAAACATCAATGAGAGAGAAACATCGATCAGCTGCCTCCTGCACACCCTCCACTGAGTATGTGCGCACAACCAAGGTACATGCCTTGACCCGAATCGAACCTGGAGCCCTTGAGTCCGCAGGCCGATGCTCCATCCACTGAGCCAAACTGGTTAAGGCTGTCCAATATGGTAAAGAAAAAACCCTATCTAATATGCAGGGGAGGGCAGTTGGGGGCGACTGGGCTGGCAGGGGAGGGAAGTTGGGGATGATTGGGCTGGCAAGAGAGCAGTTAGGCGTCAATCAGGCTGGCAGGGGAGTGGTTAGGTTAGGGGGTGATCAGGCTGGCAGGCAGAAGCGGTTAGGGGCAATCAGGCAGGCAGGCAGGTGAGCAGTTGGGAGCTAGCCATCCCGAATTGTGAAACAGTCAGACATCCCCTGAGGGGTCCCAGATTGGAGAGGGTGCAGGTTGGGGTGAGGGACACTTCCCCACCCCAGTGCATGAATTTCGTGCACTGGGCCTCTGGTAGCTAATAAGCATGAAGCCACTATTTAATCCAGGCACAGGTTATTTTAAAATTATGCTCTTTCCACTACACCACCAAGATTCTTGGAAAAGCTTTCTGACTAAACCAAGAACCTGTTACTGAAAAAGTGGAATTGAAATACTTCAAGAAAATGCCAGGGCCATATTCTTATGATACAAATGGATTTCAGAAAAATACTATCGGAGAGACTAGAGATTTTTAGCTGAGGACAGAATATCTGTATCTTATAGGATTTACTTAATTTGAGGTTCTAAATATATGTGCAATTTTCCCAGGAGAGAGTCATAGATTGCATCAGATTCTGAAAGATGCCTATGACACAAAAAACATTTAAATAATTTACATGCTAAATTTAGGTTAACGCCAGAGTTTGCTGCCTTGAACAACTACTTCAAAAGTGAAACTAAAAGACGGAACGGACACCACCCAGAACCACAGGAATGCTGGCTGAGTGGAAGTCCTACAACTAGGAGAAAAGAGAAACGCATACGGACACTCAGAGGAGGCGCAGTGCTGAAGTCAAATTCTGAGGTGTGGAGTGCGTGGAGCAGGCTGGCGGCGGAGGG